AAACATCTAGGTCAGGTCACAGCTACGAGCCCCCAACTGTCATCCCACAGCCCCATGGTCACCCACTAGTGGCTTCCACCTCCTAGCTGTTACAGAAATGCTACAGGGGCTAATATGCAGAACTGGCAATTAGGAGAAAGAGCAACCTGAGGAATATCCCTGCCACTGTCCCACAGACAGTCTCACATGCTGTGTCCCAAGTGTCCCCCTCCCCCACCACCTGCCATCTCATGTGGAGCAGCTTAAGGTTTGGGCTCCAGTTTCTACAGAACATCACACCAAGGTCACACGACAAGGACACCGTGCCCACATGCTCTATTCCAATCAGTGATATTTTGTGTATCACAGTAATTTAGAGACAAACACATGGAGCAAATGACTGAGCTGCACCCTGACCCCAACCACTGGACAACAGTGAGGAAGCGGTTGCCATCCTTATCAGAGTTGTCCTTTCTGTGGCCGACCAGGTAACTGAACTGGCACATATTTATTTTCCTTCTTCATGATTTCACACATTTGTTCCTACTGTAGATCCCAGCAATCTCAGGATATGACTTTCGATTCCTTATTAGGTTGAGAATGTTCACCTTTTCGAGTAAAGAAAGCACTGTACAGCTTCTCTTTGGCATGTCTGAATCAGACACATCACTATTCCTGTGCTGTGGGGTTGTTTTTAAGTAAACTAAGGCTGTGTGTCCTCCTCTACTCGTCCCTGTTATGGACCTCACAGTCACTATGGTTACCAGTCAGACAGACAGCTAAGGGGGCCTAATACTGAGGGAAGGGCAAGCTTCTCAGGCAGCCTGCCTGGCAGAGCTCTGGACTAGAGAAAACAAAGCCAGAGCTCGGAGGAGCACTCCCAAAAGGCCACGTGGAGTGGGGTTAGTCAACATGGTGTGCTGCAGCAGACACTCTAAACTTAGTATATTAAGCTGTCAAACAGAAAACAACAACAAAATCATGAGAATGACATGATTCTACTTATACAAGGTGAGCAGCTGTTACTCTAAAACTCTTTGCAGTAGTGGGGACTGAACCCAGGGTTCTCTACATTAAGCTATATCCTCAATCTTCTTTTAAGACAGGATTCCCCCTAAGGTGATCAGGCTGGGTTCACTTATGATCCTCCTCCCCTTCAGCCTTCCACAGTGCTGGGATTACATATTACAGACATTTGCCACCACGCAGAGCTAAACTCTGAAACTTTCTGAGCACTAACATGATACTACTAGTGAAAATTCCACACCAGATCTCGCGACACACAGTCATCAAAACGTAGTAAAGATTACCTTCAGCCTATGTGTATAAGGCACATATGAAACAAAAATGAATTTCTCTTTTAGGTTGGTCTTAGCCCCAAGACATCTCATCACATAAATGCAAATATTCAAGAATTTGAAAAAAAAAAAAATCCAAAACTTGTCTGCCAGAACATTTCTCACCTGTAACAGAGAGGTGAGACAGAACAACCAATATGTATAAGGCACCTAAAAGTCAGATTCACAGAAATAAAGTAGAATGGTGGTAGCCTGGGCTGGAGGAAGGGGAGTCAGTGTTTAATAAGGGTGGCATCCAGAAGATAAAAGAGCTCGGGACCCTGATGGTAGTGATGGCCACATAACAGTGATGATGCACGTAATATCAGTGAACTATGTTTTCGTTTGTTTGTTTTTGAGACAGTGAATTGCTGTGCAATTCAGGCTGGCCTTGAACTCGAGATGATCCTCCTGCTTCAGCCTCCCAAGTGCTAAGATTATAGGTGTGTGCCACTATGCCCCACTGTGTTCATAAACATGAATAAAATGGTAAATTTTATGTTACATGTATTTTATCACAATCAAATCTTTAGGTTATGTTTTTGCCTTGCCCCAGGAGGGAAAAGGAAGAGAACAGGTCTACAGTGGTACTCTGGAGACTCTAGATTGACATACCAGCACCTTAGGTTTTTAATCTGTCCCCAAGAACACCAGGAACAGCAGAAAAACCTGACAAGAGTCACGGGCAACCTCTATTGGGCGCAGAAACAATCAGAGGAGAGGCAGGAATTTAGATTTTTAGCCTTTTCACTTGATCCACCAGAAACGCCAGGGACCCAGGCAAATTTCTCAAGCTGCTACTTGTCTGGGAGGCCACCCAGAGCCCACCTCACCTCAGACGGATGGGGAAGTTTCTTTTCCTTTTTTGGAAAATCCACCTCTTCTCCACACTCACCAATTACAGGGTATGTGGGTGTATCACGAAAGAGATTTCCCAAATAAGGACAAGAGACTCCCAAAAGTGAGTCCCGTCTCAGAGCCACCCAGAAAGGCAGCAGTAGCCTGCTGGTGCCATTCAGCCGTGGTCCCTAAGCAGAAAGGCCTTCTTGAAGCAGCCGTGCCAAAGCTGGGACTGCTATCCTCCTGCTATTGTACTGCAATGCCCAGGCACCCTTCTGCCTCTCCAGGTCCTAAACCAGAGAAACTGAGACCATCTTTGCCCTCACCATTCTTCACATTTCTTTGCAGGGTTTCTCCCTGCTGCAGAATAATCACTTAGGTCACGGCAATGCTACTAGGATCACCCTCATCTTACTTTTTCTTCTTTATACTTAATTCCTTCCCTTTCACGCTGCGGGCAGAAATTCTGCCACCATGCACCGCAAACCTGTGGAGTTTGCCTCCACAAATATCTGCCAATTCCCATGCCAGATAATGCAGAGAAATACCAAGAATTATCAGGGGTCCAACAAGGGGGTGTGGGTATCAGTCTAAATAGTAAAATAACATGTAAACAAATGAAAACAAATAGTAATATTGAATAAAAGTCAAGTAACAATTCAAAACAGATTGTGACTATGCGTTACAGGAACACATCAGCCACAAAATGCTTCAGTTTAAGAGTACAATGCATCAGCAGGGCAGGGAGGACCAGCAGAGAGGGCTAGAGCCAGGTCTAGCAGGACAAGGAGGACTACAGGGGCCACGGTGTGCTGCTTCTAGAGATGAACATCCACTATGCCACCTTGCAGGCATAGTGGTCCAAACATACTATGGGACACACTATGTATACCCTCCCTGGCCAAGAGACACAGAGGCAGTTCTGCTAGCTCTTGACTAGCCTGATGAACAAGGAGCCCACCATGACTCATCAGAGTAGGAACAGGCCCACCCATTCCACAACAGAAACTTTCTATACCACCAGCAGGCTATAATTCCCTTATCCAGGAAATCTGACAGATAAGTTTATGCTGCTGATCAACAAATCAAACTTACATTTTAATTTTTAAAAATAGATTAACAATTTTAAAACCACTGACTAAATCACTCAGGGTTCCCCAGTCTAGGCACTGTTAACATTGTATGCCAATATTTTTTTTTGTGATGGGAGTCATCCTTGGCCTCTACCCCCTTATGCCAGTCACACCCACCAGGCCCTGAAACACTGCTGCTGCTGAGGACCACTGTTCTAGGCCCTCACCAACATAGGCTTCCACAGTGTCTGGAGCTTAGCCCACATGAGCCTGCCAGCGGACACGTTCTTGCTCTAGGTCTTAGAACACAGAGGGAGCAGGACTTTCTAGGCTCTGTACTGCTCCGGGTGAGGAACAGATGTGAAGGACAAACCACAGTGCAGGCTGCCAGGTAGCTATGGAACAGGCTGTTTCAGTCCATATGAGAAAGACCTCACTGCTTCTTCCTTCCTGACCTCTGGCCTCCATCTCAACCACCTCCTTGTAAGTCCCTCATGTGACCTTCCTGATATAATACGGAAAAGCCTTAGAAGGCAGAGGAGACACTTTACAGGTACTTCAACACAACTATCACCATTCTTTTTCACTCCCGAAGTAATACTATTTTATTCCTGGAGGTGCTGCACCCAGGTTCTCAGCACAACAGTACTAACTGCTGCCCCGTCAGTCTTCTAGCTCCAAAGTCATCTGCAGAAAGTGGCCCGTGCTCAAACACTTTCAGCTTTAGGCATCCCCTCAATACCCACCGTTCAGAACACATCTTTCCTGGGGCTTCTTTCTTTCTACACATTCTGGCATGGAGCCTTCTTTACCCCAGCACCACATGAAATACTACCCAGCCCAAACCTAGGTTTCTGGGAAACCACTGTGAGCCACAAGTGTTGGCACTCCTGGTTTGACGGCCTACATTACTGAGAAGTGGTGCTTGGGACGGCATGCACTCTATGTCTGTGGCAGCACAGAAGCAGCCCAGTAGCCATTTCTCTATGCTTATGCACCTGTGCCAAAGGGAATAGTGGATTTTGCTGGACTTCAAGAAAGAGTTACTGACTACTATACCAATCACCAAGGGAAGTCCAAGGAGCTCTATTCTTCAAAGGGTATATAGCCCTAGTACAACGTAAATGTCATCTGGCTCCTTCTATACTGTCACATTAAGATTAAATAGGACAAGTGGGAACTAAGGTAACCCTCAAAAGACAGCATTTGAAGCCACCTGTCCCCTACACATGCCTACAGCTCCACAGCCTGTGGGAGTCCCTGCTGAGACTGAGGACTTTGCCCTTGCTTTCCCTAATGCCTCTGTCCAAATGCCTACCAGCCTTTATCGGAACCAACTTACTCTCACCACAACCATGAAAATGATACCTCCTCAAATCGAAGGTCTAGGCCAGTGACAACAAACCTTTTAGACAATGCCCAAACTGCAACTCAAAACCCATTTATTTATTGCTCAGTGCTAACACTGCAATTAAACCTGAATACTGAAATTTTAGTTTTAAAAAAACATACATTAACATCTTTTGCCTTAAAAGAAAAACAACACATGTGCCACAGACTCACCACCACTGTCCTAGGCTTTCACCAGGGTCTAGATTTTCAGAGCCAGCTCCATGGTGGGGGGGGGGGGCAGCGGCAAGGCGGCTACAAATCCTTAGTACTCTAGGCTCCCAAACAGAAGCCTGAGCACTCAACACACCATGCTACTTATGACACCACAACAGAGGAACTTGGTGAAGGTCAGGGACAGAGACCAGGCAAGAATACTCACCATCTCATCCAGGGCATATCGCAAGAGGCCGTGCTCATAAAGGATGAAAAACCGTCGCTGCCATTTCTACAATGAAGCATAGAGTCGACGGTTAGGCGGGGTCCTGGGCCCTAGTCCTGGCTGGCTAGGCCCCCATATCTGACAAACCTGTATGTAAGGAACACTGGCTTCAATGCTTGTGTTTCTGGGGCAGGTAGCAGAAAAAGACAGCCCCAAGCATAAGCCCAGGGATTCACTGGCCAGGCTGGGGCCAGGAGAGGGGTGCAAATCACATGAGTAACTTGTCGTTCCACATGGCTTACTGGGTTTTTTGTATTGGTTTTTTGTCTTTTTGAGACAGAGTCTCACTATGAGGTTCAGGATGGTCTTGAGCTCACTTTGTAGCCCAGGCTGGTTTTGAACTTGCAATGATCTTCCTGCCTCAGCTTCCCGAGTGCTGGGATTACAGGCATGAGCCACCACACCTGGCTTCACTGGGGTTGTGTGTGTGTGCCTGCCAGGAATCCAACTCAGAACCTTGTGTTTGCCAGGCAGGCACTTACAACTCTGAGCTACACCCCTGACCTCCAAGTTGCTGGGGTTTAACAAGAAACCTCTTTTTAAAATTTGGAAACTCCTAGGAAGAACGAAGTAGAAACAACATGTAGTCACTTTTCTGCATTCCTTATGGAAGCTGGCACAGAGCTATCACATGATGCACATCGACATTTATTAGATGAAAGATCTAACATAATCTGGAAGAACTTGAGGATACCAAGGCACTGAGTCACCATTTTTAAAAAAAGATCCAAGAAAACTGCTATAAAAGGGGTTGCTCTGACGATCCATTGGGAGACAAGAAGGGGGCACCCAAGCTCTAGAATTTGGGAGAAATGAGGTAAAAAAAAATCAAAAGGCAGCCAGGTGTGGTGGTACATGCCTATAATCCCAGCACTTGGGAGGCTGAGGCGTAAGACCAGCCTAGGCTATAAACTGAACTCAAGGCCAGCCTGAACCGCATAGCAAGACTCTGTCTCAAAAAGACAAATTTAAAAAAAAAAAAAGGAAAGTGGACAGGTTCCAGCAGAAACAAGCTCAATCCAGGGTGCGACCAACTGTAAAGACACTTCCCTCTCTACCTAAAGACAAGGCTGCTGGGGGACCACCAGCTATTAAATGCCACTGAGAGCTGGAATGAAAAGGACTATGAGAATAGGTGTCTTCCTTTCTGTATGAAGAAAAGCCTTATCTGCTAGAGACTGTCAGTCTAAGTCATGATTAATAGGCACAGCTCCTGAACTCCAAGATCATCGGTAGGATCCAGAATCTATGTTCAACATTTCAAAAAGCTCAACATCATACAAATCTTCACTGACAATAAAAGCAACAAAACTAACCATGTCTTTTTGCTTGGGCATCAGACTTTTATCATTTATAATACTGATTTTCCTTATCAGAAGCTAGAATCAGCAATTCTATACAACCTTAATGGAAAACAGCAAGGTGACCACATCTCTGGGAAGTGTAATTTGACTGAACCTGTTGTCCGGAGCTCTCCCACCTGGGCAGTGGCAAGAACAGGGGCTTCAAAGGGCCTTGCTTACAAAGAAGACCTGCATAGACTGCTTCCAGGCTTGGATGTTATGGGCAAGTTGCCTGGACATGTATTCCGGAAACATTTCCAAGGCTCCTATATGCTGTTTTTGAAATCAAAGCCCACTCCACAAGGAAGCCTAAAGACCAGAAATATAAGGCAAAGTCTGTCAGGCCAGAATACTTAGGCCCGAGTACCCCAGATGGGATTGAGTAGCAGATACCTGGAGGAAGAAGATGGGAAGGGAGCAGAGCTGGAGCAACTCAAACTTCTTAGTGAATGAGTGGAAAAGGAAGGACAGGTTTGTTTTTTGGGGTTTTTTTTTTTGGTCTTTTTGAAACAGGGTTCTGCTATGCAGTTCAGGCTGGCCTTGGGCTCCCTTTGTAGCCCAGGCTGGTCTCGAACTTGTAACGATTCTCCGGCCTCAGCCTCCTGAGTGCTAAGATTATAGGAGTGTGCCACCATGCCCACTGGAAGGACAGTTTTTTAACCTGGAGCCAAATCCAAATGGGTACAAGCCACTGGCCAGAACAATACTAATTTACCATCTCATCGCTCCAGTAGGGACCTGCCCTGAAAAGGGTACCCAGGCAAGAGTGGCAATGAAATGTTTAGCAGGAGCTCAGCCCAGGCCTCCAAGCCCTCATCTGTTTATTAGCACTGAAGTGTGAGCTCCTGGCTTGGGAGAGAAGCAGGGTCTTGGCACTGAAGAAACTAAAAGCCAAAATGAGCATAACACAAATGTGGACTCCACTTTTCTTTTGCCTTTTCCATTCAATTGTTTTCAGAGTCAAGCTAACCTACAAAACAGGTAGCACCACACAAGAGCATCTCATTTTAAGGGGAAGACTGCACAACTATGTATAACTAAGACTTTTTTTGGTGAGACCTATTAAGTTTGACAAATGGGGACAGGGTCCCCTGCTGATCCTGCCATCTGAGTTCATTGTTCAACTCTTATCTCCCTCACCCACTCTGCCATTGTGCTCTCAGATGGGCCCCTTCACTGTCTGGTTCCTCTTGCCCCAGGGATTCACTCCAGTGTCCTTACCCTGGACCGGTGCACTGGGTTGTCAAAGTCAGTCCCATCTGGAGCCAGGAGCAGCCAGCCACCATAAATAGGTTTGGCCTAGAGGAGAAAAGAGAGAAGAGGTCATTAGTGGCCTTGGACTAGTGTGAGAGAGAACAAGTCAAGCCAACAAGCAAAAAGTCACCTGCCTCCTACTTCCCAGCTACAGTCTACAAGACAGATACTTGTGAGTCCAATCCTGGGGAATGGGGCGGGGGGTTTTGGGTCTACTGCACCTGGTGTGGAAAGGAACATAAACCCCTGCAAGAGTCTGTACTCCCTTGACTAGATCCCTAAAGGCATAGGTTACTTCCCTCATTCCTGATTAACACACCAAGATCAGGAGAAAGACATTTTAGTCAATGAATATGTGAGTGCTTGCATGTGCTGGGCACCAGGAACATAATGTGAAACACACGACCCAAAGCCCTCATCCTAATAATGCAGTCAGGGGCTGGAAGAAGCATATCACTGATCAAAGCTCACGGCTGCCGAAATACCAGCTGTGCAGCTCCTTGGCTGAAATCCTCTGAGTTTCAACTCTTTCATTTGAAAGGTGTGGGTGTTGACAGTTCCATCTATATCTCATAAAAGGTATATGAGGACTAATAAAATGAAATGCAAATGAAACCCTGCACAAGAAGATAAAATGATGCAGTTACTTTGGAAAACAGCCAAGCACTTCTGTAAATGTAGAATTACCCTTAGCCCTCACAATTCCAGGTGTATTAATTTAAGAAAACCAAAAACAGGTGCTCAACTAAAAACTTGTACCCAAATATTTTTTTTTTTTTTTTGGCACCAGGAATTGAACCCAGGGCCTCACACTTGCCAGGCAGGTGCTGTACTGCTGACTACCTCCTCAGCCCCAAATGTTCTTAACAGCACTGTTCACAACCACTAAAAGATGACAGCAACCTAAATGGCCTTCAACAGATAAATGGACAAACAAGATATAGTCTATCCATTCAACAAAGCATTAACCATAAAAAAGAATGAGGTACTAATACATTCTATAACATGCATGAGCCCTGAAAGCATTAGCTAATTGAAGAAGACAGATGAAAAGGCTCTCATTCTATAGAATTCCACTTGCATAAAAGATCTAGAAGGGGCCAGGCAAGGTGGCTAATGCCTGTAATCCCAGCACTTGAGAGGGTGAGGCAGAAGGATCACTGTGAGTTCAGGCCAGCCTGGGCTACAAATTGAGTCCAAGACCAGCCTGAACTGCATAGTGAGACTCTGTCTCAAAAAGACCAAAAAAAAAAAAAAAAAAAAAAAAAAAAATCTAGAAGAGGCAAACCCATAGATCAGAAAGCATGCTGGTGGTTCCCAGGAGCAGGAGTAAAAAGTATCTGCTGGATTTCTTTCGGGGGTGATAAAAAATGTTCTGGAGTAGGTCAATGGAGATGGTATACAAAATTGTGAATATTCCAAAAACCGCTGAACTATACATTTTAAAGGGATGAAATGTATGATATGCAAGTTATATCTCAGTAATAACTGTTTAAGGAAAAAACACCACTGAGCACAGTGTCGGCCCTAGAAAGTCTCAATAAATGTTGACCACTTTTATACTTTTACTGTCCAGAGTCCCTGCTTCCTAAGGTCCTGGCAGTGAGAGCTCAACTGAGTTAGAGAAACAGGACACACACTATGACTTCCAACGCCCTTTCCAGCCACACAAGCTGGCAAAAAGGGGACAGGAAAGGTACAACCAGGTCAGTGTATCTACCACCCTTTGGAGGGCAGTAACACAAAAGAAAACTGGAGAGCTTGACTGATGTTACCCAGAATTCTCTGGTTAAGCCTTAGGGATCTTCTTAATAAGCTATTTAACCCTCCAAACCGGGAAGTCCCATCACAACACCTCACTCAGCTATGATCTGTGACTCAAAGCCTGCTAAGTTTCTTGCTGGAAGTTACACAGCCTCCAGGCTGGACCAAGGACTATCTTTTCTTGTCTTCTTTCTGTAGGGTCCTTGAGGCCCTGGGAGCGTGAACTTTTCCTGTTAGCAGACTGGATAACTGAGTCTATGCATAATGTTTCACCTATGAAATGGTAACAAATGCTAAGTATTCTATACTTTTTGCCATCCAAAGAATCTCCTACTCCCATCAAGGTAGGGGGTGGGCTGCAGGAAAAGTCAGTCTTGCTTTGATGAAATACAGGAGTAGATATAGGCAGAGAGCTGGGGATTAGGCAGTCAGGGCCTGGTGCACTAAGTGGTTCATGGAATGAAGCCCCATCTGGGAAGGTAGGAGCGAAGAGAAGTAGAGATTTGTTTTTTTTCTTAGAATGCCAGCAGTGCCCAGCTAATCCCCAGGAGGGTAAGCCTATTCACTCTCTCCTTGTGTCACCGCAGGTAAACAGCCTAAGTGACCCCACAGAAGTCCACCTATGGCCTGGAAAAGTTGCAGCCAGCCATATAACTCCTTGTGTGTATCCAGACCCACTGATCCTATGTGGCTCCTCAACCCGCCCACAAGTGCCCACCTGCAAGGTCTGCAGGACAGATCAGAAAGCATCTCTCCATCTCCACCTGGTTTGACAATGCATCACTTTCTGGGCCTCTGCTGTATAGCTTTGGGGTGACATCACATCATCATCAGCTTACACAGACCTGGTCTTTCCCAAATGGGACAGTAAGAAACTGAGAGACTAGCACAAGTTCCCTCAGTAGCTGGGCATGGTGGTGTCCACCTGTAATCTCAGTACTCAGGAAGATTGCTGTGAGTTCAAGCCCAGCCAGGACTACACTGCAAGATTTTGTCTCCAAAAAAAAAAAAACAAGCCTCATTTTCCACATTCCTTCATTATCTAGGTCACATTCTCAACCCAGCCATGTCCTCTCTGGAATCATTATTCACTCAATTAATTCCTGTTCAGACCTAGTTGGTGCATGGCAAAGTCCTGAGTGCTACATACTAGGTACCCTGTCAGCACCACTAATCACGTATCCTGATATACATCACAATAAAGGGATATGAATGACAGCCCAGGTGAATGGAGGGCAGAACAAGAAATAAGGTCTCTGGAAAGAAGAGCTGGCTAGGAAGGAGTCCACTCATCAAAAGCACTGACTAAGACAACTTGAGAGAAACAAAAGAAGCATGGCGGTTGCCTTGGTTCAAGGGCCCTGGAATCAATAGTTAAAGATGCAGGGTATCTTCTGGGATTATAAAATGTTCTAAAAACAACTGCTTTATTGGCTATACCACTTTGGGAATATATATATTTTTAAAAACCACTGTATTGTGGACTTTAAATGTGCCAGTTAGACGGTATGCCTTTTGTCTCCGTAAGGCTCTTTTAAAAATTCATTTACCAAAGTCATGTCAGGCAGTGATGAAGATAAAGAAAAAAATTCATGGCTCTCTGTCCACAAGCAACGATCTGAACCGAGTCCTTCTCCCTAACCCAAGCGACTTTGTTCCAATCAGGTTAGCAAACCTCCATTCCAAAACAGTGGTTACAAAGATTACAAAGTCAATGATGGACCCACTGACCAGCAGGCAGGAGTGAAAGGGCCAGACAGGCCAAGGGGATCAGGAGACCCAGGAGCTGCTGAGCAGGCCCCTCAGGGTGTGACGGGGGCGCTTGGAGGACCTCCTAAAGCGGTGGTGGTAAACCTATGGCATGTGTGCCACAGCAGGCTGTTTGCTATCTTTAAAAGTTCACCATCACTGTCCCAGAAGCAGTCATACAGCTCTGACCTGTGCCTGCAGCTAGACAGAAGGAACCCCGAGCCCTGCTATTCGGCTTCAGGGCCACAGAGAGACAGGGGAAGGGGCAGTCAGCATGCAAGAGGTAAGCCCCCCCACACACACACAGGCAGGGTGGAAAACAGAGCACTCTCTGGTGAAGCCGTAACTAGGAGTCATCTTTAATCCTTTAGCATCTCCCACTGAGAACAGCCAGACTGTTCCCAGCCCACAACTCAACGTACCCAGCACCAGGACCCACTTACTGGCACATTTCAGTGGCTCCTTCTCTCCCCCATAACCCTGGCAAGAGGCCTGCTGCTCCCCAGTTCTCTACCCCACCCCTCTACTTGGCAATGCCACTCATCCAGCAAAGCCCAAGTCCCTTCCTTGAGAGGCTGTCCTATGCCAGCATGAGGTGCATCACTAACTTCACCATTTAACAATGATGTATGTCAGCAGTGACACGTCTATCATTTCATTATGAAATTACATTACCATAACCCCTCCATCCCCTACTCTGCTACAAAACATTCACTAAAGAAAGTCAGGGGTGCCCCACTGCAGCCTCCATCCCAATGCAGGTTTACAGAGGGGAGGGGAGGAGAGAGGCAGTCGCTGTAGAGAGCAGTCAGGCCTGGCTCTGAGTTTCCTTCCTCAAGAGAACCTGCAGACCTGACGTGGCTACCCTGTCTTTGTCTCCAGGCATGGAAAAGCCTGTTAGAAAGAACTGTTGTGGTTGTTATCTAAAATGCTATGTCCATCCACTGCCACAGAAGAACCACCACATCAGCCCAGAGAACCCAAACAGTGCAAAAGACAGCCCAAAGAAAGCTGGCCAGCAGTAAGGACTGCTCTGGATACACAGCAGCCTACTCAATTGTGCAGTTTTTTGGCTGAGTGTTTGACAGAGGCAAGAGGCAGGTGCCTGTATTCACAATGGGACCACACTAGACTACAAGGACCTACAGGTAGGATAGACCTGAGTTATTTCAGGCAGACTTTCTCACACAGGCCTTCCACAGGAGGCACAGTGTTCCAGCCCCACAGAAAAGCCACCATAACCACAGAGTGACTTCCCTTCCAGAGCAACTTCCCTTCCCTTGTGACCTGCAGAGAAACCAGATGTGGCACTTTGGGCTACTAGATAAAGGAGGATACTTAGGATCTGGGAACATTCTTCAACCCAATGCCCTTTCAAAAACAAAAGACTTGTCAGAGTCACTAAATCTTGGGAGCAACCTACATGTCCAGCAACAGATGAATGGATATAAAAAACATGATATTTATACATAATAGAGTACTACTTTGCCATAAAGAAGGATAAATCTGAATCATTTGGATGAGAATGGGGG